AAACCAGCGACCAGGAAAATTATCATTTAAAAATTGTAGCACTGGAGCCGCATAATGAGGAGGTGCACCATCCTGTTGTAAAACTATTTCGTTTTTGAATAAATTTGTATCCTCCTCAATCGTTCTATGGATGTATTATTCGATTCTCCAACATATCGAAATATTCATCACTAGTCAAATTATTATCGATAAAAAAAAGTCCTATGATGTGGTCACCTAAAATTCCTGACCAAACATTCAGTTTTTGAAGTCATTGGGTATGAACTTGACGGTATAAATGAGGATTCGTATCACCCCAATATCGACAATTTTGCCAATTCACATCTCCATTCAAACTAAATGTACATTCAACCGAAAAACTAATTTTATACAAGAAATTCTGATGCAAGTTGATCCGTTCAGTAGGACCTTCACAAGTCTATCATGAATTTAACTCATCCATATGGGTTCAATTCATGAACTCATATGGATGAAATATGTACTTATGAAGGATCCTGAAAACATTTGTGAGATTGATTCCTGATTCTCGAGATAATTTAGTAAGAGAATGCGAATTTTCCATTAGTCCAACGTACCCTAAAACTGCAGTACAAATAGCTTCATCGATGATAACTTCTGAACGGTTATGCTTCTTATTCTTAACAGATCCAGTTTTAATAAATTTGTTCAATAATTTCATAACATATTTGTGTCGTACATTTCTTCCTGGATGATCATCATTGAATATTGACCCAAATCTGGAACAATTTTATAGTAATAATGTGAATGATTCTATCACATCATTTCTTGAATTGACATTGATCACCGAAAATGAATTATTGACCTTCATGTCACAAATAAAAAGTAGATCAAAAGAAATAGATAATCTCGATAATTTTCTCTTAAATATCTGTGTTGCACCTACAGTGCCCGTTATTTTACTTTACATATTATAAACTTTTGCTTGGAGTAGAAAGTTTTCCCAAGTATGTGAAAGCAGTCTATCGTGGTACCAATACCCAAAATTAAAAAACCTAAGGATTTCAAAGACTTGCGTCCTATAAGTCTTCTTCCATTTCTTTCTAAACTTTTGGAAAAGGCTATTGCTCAACAGTTGAAAAACCACCTTCACAACAACAATGTACTCCCAATCACGCAATCCGGTTTCAGACCAAACTATAGCTGTGCTACCAAACTATAGCTGTGACTTCGTCAAAGCACTTTGAAATTTTTTGATTCATATCTTTCATATGGACAACAAATTGTTAGAGTGGAGAACCACATGTCAGATTTCAAGAATACTTCTTCAGGTGTCCTACAGGGTTCAATCCTTGGACCTATCCCCTACATAATTTACACCTCCCATTCGACAACCTGTTTGAAAAAACTCAAATATCATATGTATGCCGATGATACACAGTTGTATTGTTCTTTTACTCCTGACTCTGTACAGCAAAGCGAAAATATCATTAATGAGGATTTGAATCAATTCGTTAGTGTATCGAAGAAACATGCCCTGGAAGTTAATAATTCCAAATGCTCTATGATTGTATTTGGAAGGAAAGTCACAAGGTCGAAACTTAGCGATCTGATCATAAAAATTGATGACACTGTTTTACCAGTTGTGAATCAAGTAAAAATCTAAGAGTTTCTATCGATGATGAACTTAAATTCAAAAAACATACTTCAACATTGATTCAGAGAGCATTTGGGAAAATTAAAGTATTATACCCTCATAGACATGTCTTGACATGAGCAGCTGGAAAGAAGAGGTCCACAAGGGCAGAGCTAAAACTACCATTTCAAGGCTTTCTACAACAAGAAGGCACTTTCGTATTATCGTATTTGTAGTAGCGTTCAATGTTATAACATGTTGATGTAGCCATGTTCAATGCTTTAAGTCAAGAAGTAGGGATGATATTCCAGAATATAATCTAACATCCAGAAGCAATTTGAGAAGATTGTTTCTTAACAAACTAGGTTTGTTAAGAGAATCAAGAGTTGGAGAATTGAGAAGTTCTTGTTCTTAATACGATGTTTCAGGAAGGACAGTTTGGGTTGTTTAGTCGACTCCGTCTGCTCTGTAGACTTAGGGGTCGGATTATGTGGTTACTTCCACGAGCAGCTAGAAAAAAAGTCCATGAAGTCGAAGCTGGGGACTACTATGGTATGTCTTCCTACAGAAGCAGGAGGCCCGTTAATGGCACTGAGTGAGCTCAGATTCATATATCCTTTCGGCGCGGAAACACACCTCAGATTGAGGCGTAATCTGATAGGACTTTCACAGGTGACACCTCATCAGGCAGGGTGCCTCCCCGCCGAAGGAAATTGGTAATTAGAATACGATTTTTCTCAGATATCTACGGTATCGACTACTGAGAGCATCATCCTGATGTTCCTGGTTTTTTTTGTCAATAACTTTGTGAGCCGCCTAGGGAGCATCAAGGCTATTGGCAGCCGTGCAACCAGACAAAATCATTCAACCTCCAAATGAATGAATTACTGGTCTAAGGAAAACTCCATATTTACCTTTTGCTTCAGATACAAATGAAAACTAAGAATGATTTAATATGCTAATCCAAAATTATTTTTGTGGGCACAAAATTTAATTATAAGAAACAATTTTCTGGAGTTTGATGGAATAACCGGTATGATATTTGAAAAATGAGTAATAATTTTCTAATATTGTGTTTGAAGTCGTTTTGACAAAACAAATCTCAAAATATTCCACAAACCTCAATACACTCATTAATTTCATTTTCGTCGTATTATATATACACATTTAATATATTTTTTTGATATATCAATCAGTTCATCCAACCTAAGTTTCAATTTTGGATATGATAAACGAAGTATACTCAGGGTGTTGAAAATAATAGTGGAGACAAGAGGTACATTTATGATACGCTGGTATCAAGGCGATTGAGGCCAATCCTTCATTCATTCCCTCTCACGATGTTGAGTATCGTTTGGTTTGGTAATTGTAGAGCATCCAAGAATAAAATATATTTCGTTCCAAGTTGATAGTCCCACATATTTTCTTCAATAAATGTCTATATTTGCATTGTATGAGTATCAAGACCTTTGACATCTGTTATAGAATAAAACTGACCAAATTTATCGATCAGATTCGTCAAAAGCCAGCGCCATAATTAATGCCATAGGCATTAATTATGGTGTTAGTCTAAACTACGAATGTATTGTTTCACTCAAATAGTTCTGAGTATGAGTCATATGGACATCTCTCATCAAGATGTTATCTACGGGATTGAGAGCAGATTCATATCTTGTTATCTCAGCCGGACATTCGACTGTGTCAATCACGCTTAATTATATGATAAGTAAACAACAATTGGTATTCGGAGTCAGTTCTTGAAGTGGATTGGGTCATATTCATCTGGACGCCAACAATACGTTACAATTCCAAATATTACAAAAAAAATCAGCAAATGTCAGTTAATCTGATTGAATTTCTATCACTATAGGTTCTCACAAGGATCTGTTTTGGAGCCTGTTTTATTTTTACCATATATGAATAACATAACATCTATAGGTTCGTCAATTCACTTCACAATTTATGCAGATGACACTTCTGTTCTGATATCTAACAAAACGAATTCAGCATCAGAAACAGAATTTAATAATGTATTGTCGAATCCTTATGAGTGGATCTGCAGGACTTATCTTCATCTCAACACAAAAAAACACATGCAGTACACTTTGATAATAAACAAAAATAGCTAGCTAATATAGACATTGAAATTGGCAATCATTAAGTTGGCAAGGTATCATATGTCTATATGTCGATGAGTGTCTTGACTGGAGGTGACATTCTGCGGCAGTCGTTTCGAATATGAATTCTGTGATTTTCATGCTTCGTAATCTTAGATGTGCTCTTACTCATAACAACTTGATTATGCTGTACTTTGATCAGGCAGAATCTCGCTTGAGATGTGGCATTGTCTTTTGGGTAATGTCATAAAATTTTCATCTCCCAGAAAAAAATAATTTCTTGTATAACTTGTGTATCGAGTACAATCAGTTGTAAGAATTATTTTGAAGAATTCAAAATCTCAACTCTTCATGTCTTCATTTTTGAAGTCTGTATATTCGTATACGGCAATTTGAAACATTTCAAAACGAATGCTCAATTACATTCAGTCAATAAAAATGCCCTTTTCAATTCTCCATCAATAATTGGCCAAAGGATTTTTAATAAATTACCATCAACTATACAATCTATTCCTGAACTGAAATTATCAAATTGGCATTGAAAGAATTTCATTATTCTGTAGAGGATTTTTTTGCACTGATTTCAGACTTTACATACATATGTATGTTCCTCTTTTGTGATATGAATGTTGTAGGCTAGGTTTTATTTTACTTCAAGGACACTGACTAATCCCATTAAAATTATACTGTCATAAAGGAAAGAAAGTCTTACTTCCTCACTTATCCAAGATGAAGGAAGGTTTCCATGATGAGACTAACGGCAGGTAGAAACAGCAGGGTCTGATGTTAGGTCAAGAATGATATGTTTTTGGATTCTGCTTTCAACTAGTTCTACGGTGTCAGCTTGAGAACAAAAATATAAATTGACACCTCATTCGATTGTCGATTTTGAAGCTTGCCTTCACAACAGAATACAATGAAGATCCTGATCTAGCAAATGTTGAGTTTTTCGTCGATCCCAAAGATGATGTTTTCTTGAGAGGAGAAGCTATACCTATTTATATTCAAGTCTTCATCTTCAGACAATCGGAATCACAGTAATAATTTTCAGATGATTGCTTTTGGTTCACGGGAAAATTGGGAATGAAATGAGTAGTAATAGTAAGCCGAAGTTGACACATTTTGTGTACCTAACCTCACTTATTGAGTTCCGTAAAATGTAGAAAATTTGGTGTTTTTAAAACACAACATGTTTTGCAAAATGTTTATGAGGATTGTTTTTTTCATGGCTGTTTCCTACAGATACGATTACCAAATTAAAACTTGTATTCCCTATTATTTTCAATACACTTATGTGCTTGTGTGTGAATTTGGTTTCTATTCCCCCCTGAATATATGAATGAATGATCATCGTAATAGTTACATAAACGAGAACATTTTGAAAGGTGCGCCCCCCAAACCGCAACGAGCGTACAGCAATGGGGCGCCTCGGTCCAGTGATGGCCCACCTAGACCTCCAGATCGATTCGTTCCATTCCAAAGGCCTGCCAACCCCTTGTACAATATACCAGGTGGGTCAACACGACCTTCACTTACTTCAGGTTGGGGCCTTTCAGAAATCAATGCAATTTTTTTGAAACTTTATCGACATGAGTTGCAATAACATACGATTATCAATGTCAGATTAAAATCAATTTCTGTACAACCAATAGAGATAAAAGATTTGTCCCAATACAGCTTCAAGAACTTTTCTGTAATTTAATGAATGGGAAGCACTTTGTACTAGGGTGGCCCCAGAAGTACTCGATCTGACCCAGAGATGGCGATACTTGTTTGGAAAATATCACTGTATTAGAAAGTACACCATGTATAAAGCATATCTTTCGAATTTGAAGATGCTGCGTTGTTTGGAATTTGTTTGACAGCCAACAAAAGCGAACGTTTTCGGTGAATTTGTGATAAGGCCTCAGCCCAAACAATATAACAGTAAAATACAAGAGTTTACAACAGTAAAATATTTGGCAGCAGTGTTAAAACGAGGCTGTAGGGGCTGCCAAGACGAACAGTGCAGTGGTCGACCACAAAGCGGCACTGAATGATCGTCAGCTGAAAGTGTGTAAGCTAGCAGACTCAGTAGGCATTTCAAAAAGTGCGGTACATCGTATATTATCTGAAAATTTGGACACGAGAAAGTTGTGTGCAAGATGGATGCCGCGTTTGCTCACACTCTATCAAAAACAGTGTCGTAAAGATGTTTCATTTGAGTGTTTAGCGAACTTTCACAGCAACAAAGCAGAATTCTTGCGTTTCATAACCATGGATGAAACATGGGTCCATCACTTCACACCCGGGACGAAAGAACAATCAAACGGTCATGACATCGTTTTTTTGGGATGCTCGTTGTTTTATTTTCGTTGACTCTCCTAAACAAGGTGAAACTATCAACGAACTTATTGCAACGTTTGAGTGAAGAAATCAAGCAAAACGAAAACAACTGCATTTGGCTAAGAAAAAAGCAGACAATGCGTGGATAACACAGTTCCACAGTACAACTTTCAAAAAGATTTCAAAATCATCATACCAAGTAGAGAGGACTGGCAAAACGGTCCACCAATAAAAGCAGAAGAAACTTGGTATACAGATGGCTCAAAGACCCAAGAAGGAGTCCGAGCCGATATATACGGAGGCAGAGCAAAGACGAAAATCGCACTCAGCCTCGGATATGATGCAACTCAGGCCCAGGCAGAAGTAGCTAACGAACACTGTATAGGGGAAATGAACACGCAGAAAGTCATTAATAAAACCATTGTCATTTTCTTTGCCTTGCCTTTGCCTTTGCCTTGCGGCAATTAAGGCGCTCAGCCAATTTCAAGTCTTCTCCAGACTGGTGGGACGCTGTCTGAGCCCACTCAAGTAGCTAAGTACCCAAAATAGGGTCAGTCTAGCTTGAGTACCTAGACATGAGGGTCACAAGGGCAATGAGGAGGCTGATGTTGTAGCTTGTGAAGGCGAATCCAAGGCTATGATCTGCCGGAACCCTTGTGCGAGGAAGCGGAAGCATGTACAAAGACATCAATAAATTCATCCTGTTCCACCAATCGATATATTGGTGGAACAGGCGCCCAGGAATGAGGCAGGTGAAAGAGTTCATAAAAAATTCATCGCCCAGGTTCACGGAAGACCTGCTAAACCACAACCGTAAGGTTGTAAGGGTAGTGGTGAGTTTACTAATGGGGCATAGCGGACTCAATAAACATAAGAGCAACATAGGTCTGACAGAAGAAACCCAATGTAGGTTATTTCAAGAAGAGGAAGAAACCGCACTGCATGTGCTCTGTGAATGCGAAGCGATAGCAAGGCTGAGACACGCAAGATGTGGGGAAGCGAAACCAGAGGCTGCCAGCTATATGAAGGGGTCAGTGTCAAGGCTATGGAGTCTCATTGAAGAGATCAAGTTTGACTATGAGCTCTAACAACCAAGGAGCATCACAAAGGATCTGAAAAGGTCGCAGTGAATCAGACCACAAAACCTTTATCGTAATGATCAAAATCAACGCACTCTATTGGCTAGATTTAGCCATCTCAGCGGTCAAAGATTTTCCAACGATAAAGAGGTGATGTCGGCAACTAAAGGCTATTTTGAGGAGCAGGACAGTTCCTGTTATGAAAACGGTATCAAACTTTTTGAAAGTTTGTGAGCCACAATAAGCCCTTGTGGGTTGCGGTGGGAGTCGAATTGACCCACTCACTTCTGACATAACCTAATCCAACCTATTGAACTTCGCTGCGATAGTGTATAGAGCTGCATGGAGATTATGTTGGAAAATGAATACATGTTTTCCATATGTTTGTGTTTTCTTTATTGGGCAGGGTATTTCTGGAACCACCCTCTAGATCTAACATTGTCTGTTACTCATCTGATCTATATTGTATTATCATCACAATGGAGTGAAAGTTTCACTCAAATACTCGATGAACACTTTTCTGGATAGTTAAGTGAAATTGCATTTGATTTTAATTGTGCTCAATTAACCACCGAATGCGCATTTTTGTTACTGCTCTGGTGTGGTATTGCACTTTTGTATTATCGTAGTTGTAGTAGCGTTCAATGTGATAATATGTTAGTTGATGTAGCCATGTTGAATGCTGTCAATAATTAGGGATGATGACTTCCAAAGGTTTTCCAAAATATGATCTTATACCATCCAGAAACCATTTGAAAAACATTTATTTTTGGAAAACCTCGGAAGGGAAGTATTTTAGAATAATTTGATCTGATGAGTCTCTCTACAGATGGTTACATGTCTTCACCAGAAAGAAGTTCCAGGTACGAAGATCCTTACTATAGTCAATATGGTACAAGATCGGGATCTATCACTCCTGTAATAGATGAAGAAATAAGGTGAGGTTACTATCTAGTCATTGAATTTCTTGTTTGATTGGTCATTCAACTTGTAATGAATATCACATTATAAAAAACACCATGCCAGAAACACTGGAAAAATTAAGGGTTATTGAAAAATTATGTAAACGTAGAAGATACAATGTGTCGTTCTCCTGATTTGCTCATAATGAAAAGACATGATATAATAAAAACTTATGTTCAACACCTTCGCGACAGTGTCCATCATTAGTGGAACACGCCTTTGTTAGATTTCCTGGCATGTTCTGTAACTATAGCTGTAGATATAGAAATGTGATTTTTAGACGACAGTAAGGAATAAAATGAAAACCATCTACAGTTGTGTTTGTTTTCAAATTGAACAACTCTTTCAAATTTCATGGACATCTGATTTTGAGTCTAATTCGTTTTGAAAGCTGGAAAAACAAGATAAACATCGTTTTCTATTTTTCCTGGCATGCATATCAAACTTTTCCAATCGATGATTCTGTTTGGACCTTTTTCTTGCCCCTTTTGAAAAAATATGNAAACATCGTTTTCTATTTTTCCTGGCATGCATATCAAACTTTTCCAATCGATGATTCTGTTTGGACCTTTTTCTTTCCCTTTTTGAAGAAATATGTTTTCTGAAGTTCAAAGTTTCTCTGCTGAAACCTCTAATGTGAATTATAAATGACCCAGGAGTTTACCCAAAATAATCTCGAATACAGCCTTTTTATACCATTTTGTATATTTGGTCCGACATATTTCATATGGATCCATTATGTCTAAACAGTTACTTGCAGTCTACTTCGAAAAAATTGTGTTGAATCCCACCGCAAGTACCCCAATTTCCACAAGTGTACGGCATGCCATTAGTCTCTTCTGCTGATATTGGGAACGTTTTTTCTTTAGTCGACTTAAGGCTTCGTTGAATCGTCTGAAAACCGTTTTGATGTTGTGTTTCCCCAAGAGTTTTCCAAATATATCTGTGACCCTTGGTATATAAGCTAGATAGGCGCATACAATCATCTGAGATATCTCCCCGTGTTGAGCTGTATGACTCTTCAGTTTCATGGCTTTGTTGATCTCGGGTACACTATGCCCATTCGATCTCAAGGTCACAATAAGATGTTCCAGTTCTTCCTGTAGATTATCTGGTCCACATACGTTCGCGCTCGTTCCGTTAGAGTGAAGATGACTCCCCTCTTTCGACTAGGACACTTCGTGGGTTAGTCCAGCACCACATCGTTCGATTGGTACATCTAGGAATGTTATCCGCTGCTTTTATACAGTCTTCATGGTGAACTTGATGTTGAGGGTTCAAGCGCTCATCAGCAAAGATGATTCGTGAATCCAATAGTTTGTTGATGTATCAGAGAAAAAAATTCGCGACAATGTGCATACCTGGAAAAACCAGCGTTGATGGTGAATGTATCTGAACCATCCGCATGTAACCACGTTCGTAGAAGCTGAAGAAGCAGGTATATTTTTCTCTTGAAATGATGATATTCATAGTTTGTTTGAAGATTTTTAAAATGAACAAAAACTGATAGACGCCCGGGAACGGTTAATTCGATTTCCAGCAATGAAGAAGTTTTGAACAGAGAATTGAAGTACCTATCAAACGACTTATTGAAAGACCCCATTTTTTTTGGGTAGCCCCCCTCGCCGACGAGTGATGCAACAATATAGCCTTTCTTATCATATACATATTTTATATTAAAATCATGGGTATTTTGTGAAGATCACCTGATATTGTATTGAGTTTTCAAACAAGGGAATTTTATAGAATTAGTATTTCAAAATTAAAGTATATTGGATTTATCGTGAATGATATCACTGATTTCAGGAGGTGATTACAAAATAGGTATTCTTTCGCAGGGAGATTTTGAATATGTTACAGAATAACCTAGATAAAACAATTGAAGAAATTAATTTTTCAATTTAGTGCATTTATATAAAAGTTTGTCTCCGAACAAGTGTTTCAACTGTTCAATCTGATGAAAATATACAACTTGGAGAAGAACATTGGCGTACCATGATTTTACCATAAATATCAATCAAGTAACGCCACTGGAATTATAATCACCAAGTTTGATCAAAATCGGCGAGAAGACTTTTGAGTTATTAATGAAAGAGCAATATTTTAAATGAGAATTTGACACCCGATACTCGAAACCAAGCAACTCGGAACTGAGCATACAGGTTCATATGAACTTTTTTCATAGAATATAACAAGTAATCACCACTTGAAATTATTGACATTATTTAAAATACACCCTGTATGATTTTTAGATGAAGCATCGTTCATCCATGAAAAATATTTTCTGATTCGTTACTTGATGAAGATCCATAGTAATTTCATAAACTATACCTCACGATTTGGTCTCCACAAAATTTATTTGAAAAATATATCACGACATGTTTTGCTAACACAGTAGCTTCTTCAAAATTGTTGTAGTTTATGAAAAAACATAAAAAATATACCACATCTACAACAAAACTTTTTTTCATTATCCTTTTCAATACAATAAAACTTATCAACTCCAAAAAAATATCCATTCAATGTTTCTCATGTTTTCAGCGACACCGAATTACTCGATGACTCGTATTCCCTATACGGGGTGAAATTACCTCCCGGTACAGGTCCAAGAGTGGCCCCCAGATCGCCTTTTCCCCAACCTGCTACAGGTCCCCCATATGATGCTACGAGGTTAGTATATTCATTTCACCAGTCATGGAAATGCTTCAACAATTTATAGACTATCAATTTTGAAAACGCATTTCACTACAATGTAGCCTCTTCATTAGAACTGGTGCCAGTTCAGTCAGTTCAACTATTTCCAGTATAACCATTCAACTCAAGAAGCTAAGACGCATTTTGAATAATGTTTTCAATGTGAACATTTTCAAATTATCATCATGATCATTGTTATTATTCACCCCAAGTAAAGCATCAGTGTAATTATAGTAGTGATCTTTTATATATACAAGCTCAAATCATGGATTTCAGACAACTTTTCTGTAGGAACATACTGATACTCAATAAAAACTAAAAGATTTCTGCCTCAGTGCGGTAAGCCGGTATGATTTCAAGATTCGAAAGTAGAGAGGGCATCATTCCACCAAGGACTCCAATAATCAAAACAACCATCTTGACAGAGTGGTCTGGATAGAGTCTGAGGAGTTCGAAGAGGAAATCTCGATATATTATCCGTTTTCCTCCTCTTTTCGGACGATATTCGTCTCGTCAGGAGCTGAAAACTCCACGACAAATATCGTCTTGGTTTCGCACGAGTAGTTCCAATAAATTCGGTAGGAATCACACGTTAAAAGGTGAGACCTGGTTAGTCCTCAGCTCACACAAGTTTGTCAACTTCTGAGAGTTGTCGTTCGTATGGGGGTGACAGCTGATTGACGGCAAAATATATTTTAAACAGTTCTCTTTCCCCACAAAGGATTCAATATCCCCCGGAGCGTGGGGCAACACGTCAATACCGTAAGCGTGTTATGTCGATGGATACAGGTCGAAACGATATATGCTGATCATGCTGATAGCGAGTGCATTACGGTCTTGGATGCCTCGCGGCAGGCCCTACACCTTGTGTCAGGAACCTCTATACTCATCAGGTGTTGAAGACACTATCCTGACATGTCATGATTTCAGCCCACTCGACCTGAGGAAAGCAAAAGTGAAGCGCCTTGATAAGCCAAGGTCTTCATCGTTATTGAAGAAGACTCCATGCATTGGCTGTACCTTGTGTTGCCGCAGAAGTGATATGATCTTTGCGGCTCCTATATGAGCCTTCTGCTAAACGGGGTTCAACTTGGTTACAACGCTGTGATTACCTCGTTCAGTGTCGAAAACTAAACCCAGTTCATCAGCTGCTCGGGCAGCTGCCCTGAAGAGAAATAAATGCTCCAATTCCTGCTCTCTCTCACGTGATCGCAGAACATACAGAGAAGGGATCCTTACTCCTGACGACTTTACAGGCTACAGTCAGTACCATTCTGTTATGTAGACACTCCAAACTGAAAAGTCCACGGTCTCCCTGTTGTCGGGGGTAGTACAACCGTGGAACAGACAATTTGGAACGCAAACTCCTATAGAGTATTTACGTCGAGTTGATACAGCTTTTCCCAAGTCCACTTCACTACTCCAAACGAATAGAGTAAGATTGGAATGGCCAACATATTTGTTGCAGCAGCTTTGTTCTTTCCGCGGAGAGTTCTTCACTACTGTTACCTCTTGTGAGTGCCGTTGTTTCACACCGAGGTGAGTGTACCTCTCTCCGGCATACAAATGGTGTAGGATGCTTTCATCTACGAGCTACACATCTTCTACGTAGTCCCGCATCGTCTTCTTTTGAGACTGACCATTACACATTTGTCTTATCATTATTTTTATTCAAAAAATATTCATTTCTAATCATCAACAAGAACAATTTTTTTAGACCAGTCTCTACTCACCTACACAGTAGGTCAATGGGGTCACACCTATCAGTAAACAACTACTCCTCTGGCTAATACCACGGAGGGCATTGGATTATATCCGACAGGTGTCAGTGCATATACAGAGCAAATACAAATGTATTTTCTGTATATGCTGTAGGCGATACAACTGCCGGAATCGATTTTCACTGGAAGGGACACACTTGCAGACCGGTTTCGGGCTATTTGGCCTCTCGTCAGTGCATGGTAGTGGCCATCATCAACCTGGAGTCGATGAGTCGATGATATTCCATAATCAAAAATCGAATTCCATTCGGGGTATCATTCCTTGATCCACTGAAGCAAAAGACGAACAACGTACTTATCATCGCTCCATCTTCCTGTGAACAGTGAGATGGAGCACATACTTCCTGTAGATAACTGGATTTGCAATCAGTCTTCAAGTATGATCACTGACTAAATGTGAAAAATATCCTTTTCTATCCTAAAAATATTTTGCGAGAAAAGCAATGATCTCAAATGATTTTTCAGACTGCGAGTAGAAAATATGGAAAGACAACTAGCTAATTTGACGGGATTGGTTCAGAAAGCCCTTACTCAACCTACTGCTACCCATCTACAGGTCCCAGGAAGAGAGAATTAAATATATATTTTATGTGCTTGCGATTGTTATCTGCACTGGTACCATACCAAGCATACATTTTAGTAACAAAATCGACACAAATCAGAGAATCATTTAAAATACTCACACATTCCAGTAAGTCACTTTATTTTATGGTTGGAATACATGTCACGGCAAGAGAAACACCCTGCAATATAGAAAACAACTTAGATATCCCCTAACTTTTAATCAAACAATGATATTATTTCTACAGCTTCGATATCTGGTTCCTTCCTAGTTATTTTGATGCGATAACAAAAAATCTGCAACAGTTCTATGGTGAATGGTCCTGTGAAGTACCACGCAGTAGTTTTCGTACGAATCAATTTGTTTCTGTATGAGCCAAGGTGTTTCTGAACATTTCTTTCTGCGATTTCTCAAGGGGTACAGATGAATTTTATTATCAAAACAAGATAAATATTTGACGAAGGGTTCCTGAAAACATCAATGAACTAGTTTATTTTTGTTGCTAAGTGAATTTTTGGAGCATTAGCACTCATCAGACATAACGATCTAATGATTTCCATTGCACTCGTCAACATCAAGTCTATTTTTACCTCAATTTCTATTCGTTGCATGCCTACTCCACTTGTCGAATATAAAATATCCACTGAATGATATTTACATTGTGATTTGTACTTAAAAGGTTTCCAAACCGTGTCATGGGTTTCGCTATACGATAGCTTACCCAAGCAGTGCCGTAAGCACATCAAATACTGCTTGAGAGACAGATATTGTATAGCCAAACACGTAGCGTGAGTTTGTAAACCATTCACAGAGATAATCAAATTAAATCCCATTAGTGAGTTTTGATATGGGTTTTCATCAAGCATTGATCAGTTTCATTCAACTGCAGCATTATTTTAGAACATCTTAGCTCTAAATGTACCGTCACCGGTACAAATTCCAATTTCGAAACATCTTTGTACCAATTGCAGGATGTCTGTACTCTGCATTTTTCTGTTTCTCAGGTAAGAAACAGCGGTATGAATTGTAGAACACATAGCAAGTCGTTTATACTTCGAAAAGTGACGTTTAAGTTTGATATTTGTCAATTTTATTCGTTTCATTTCCCATCCCCTTCAAGTTTTCTTCGATTGTTGAAATGTCTGTTTTGAGACTTACGCTTCAGACTTACAAAGTTGGTCTGACAAAGTTTTCAGCTTTTTTTAGCAGAATCGTTTTCAGTATATTTTTATAATCACGATCCGGAGCCATTTGAAAGAGTTTCATTCCTTTACCCATATCTCTGATATTATACATCAATGAATCATTGCCACTGTGAAATTGTTTGATGAATAATCATCTTCAATGGGCATAAGTTCTGCTAATTTCAGCATGAGATCTGATACAACTATGTGGCCAATCAAAATAGACCAATGTCAATGCCATTTAGCAAAGTATTAGATGAAAGATTATATGGTGCATTCCAGTTAAAACGAGCTACCCTGAATGACTTTTGGTACAATGATTTTCAGGAAAAATAAAAAAACACGTCGACAATAATATACAGGGGAACACATTTTGACATATTCACATTTGATGTCACTTTCCCTATCGCACCCCCAGAGCAAGTTACCCATTTTTTGTAATGGATCACCCTATATTGTTTGGCATTATAAGGTGCTCCACGATGAGCAGATTTCAACAAAGTATAAAACATATGGTCAGAAGCTTATGGTTCTGGAGCTACAAATCATTTGAGTTGAAAACGAGCCACTCTGTATAACTTTTTAAACAATGATTTGCAGGAAACATAAAAAACAAAACAAACAATCACAGGAGACCACATTTACAAATATTCATTCAAATATGGAAGCCACAAATCAGAAAAAGATATTTTTTATTAATTTTCGAATCAAAATCTGATGACTGTACAATGAGAAGAAAAAAATGTTCTATAGTGAATGTTCGAAAACGTTTCCACCAACGTCCATACAATGGTACAAACGAGTTTCTATTGCCGTCGTCACATGGTTGAGAATCTCGGGAGTTATTTTTCTGCAAGGCCTCATGATATTCTCTCTCAAATCTTCCAGTGTTGTTGATTCTATCTCATAGACTTTATACTTGAAATGACCCCATAGAAGGAAATCTACAGAAGTGAGATCTGGAGACCTTGGTGGCCATTTTGTAGGACCTCTTCTGCCAATCCAGCGACCAGGAAAATGATCATTTAAAAATTGTAGCACTAGAGCTGCATAATGAGGAGGTGCACTATCCTGTTGAAAAACTATTTCGTTTTCGAATAAATTTGTATCCTCCTCGATTGTCCTATTGATGCACGGTATTATTCGATTCTCCAACATATCGAAATATTCATCACTAGTCAAATTATCATCGATAAAAGAAGGTCCTATGATGTGGTCACCTAAAATTCCTGACCATTGGGTATGAACTTGACGGTATAAATGAGGATTCGTATCACCCCAATATCGACAATTTTGCCAATTCACATCTCCATTCAAACTAAACGTACATTCAACCAAAAAACTAATTTTATTCAAGAAATTCTGATGCAAGTTGATCCGTTCAGTGAGACTTTCACAAAACCCAATAAGTCTATCGAAATCATCTTCGTTCAATTCATGAACTAGACTAATCTCATATGGATGAAATTTGTACTTATGAAGGATCCTGAAAACATTTGTGAGATTGATTCCTGATTCTCGAGATAATTTAGTAAGAGAATGCGAATTCTCGTTAATGTATCGAAGAAACATGCCCTGGAAGTTAATAATTCCAAATGCTCTATGATTGTATTTGGAAGGAAAGTCACAAGGTCGAAACTTAGAGGTCTGATCATAAAAATTGATAACACTGTTTTACCAGTTGTAAATCAGGTAAAAATCTAAGAGTTCCTATCGATGATGAACTCAAATTCAAAAAACATACTTCAACATTGATTCAGAGAGCATTTGTGGAAATTAAAGTATTATACCCTCATAGACATGTCTTGAGCCTAAAAACCAAATTACCAATTTGTGATTCGTTGATATTATCTATTTTCAATCATTGT